GCTTCATCTTCCTGCCTGGCCCCTCTCCGCTCACTCTGCTTCTGAGTCACCATGAGGCCAGCAGCTTTCCTCAGCTAGACCCCTCTGCCGTCCATTTTTGGGTTCAAGCCTGTCAGACATGGGCTGAGACTTCTGAAATTATGAGCCGAAGTAAACCTCTCGTCCTTTAAGTTTTGGGACTCAAGATATTTTGTCCCAATGACAAAAAAGTGACTAAGACACAAACATACAGTTTATCTTTGAATACTGCCCTTTCTGCTCTGTCAAAGAACTTCTACCTAACCTAACCTTAGCTAAGCTCCTGAGCCTTCCTCCTAGGCCTATCTGCATACTTCCTTGTCAAATTCAGTTTCAACCCAGAGCACTGCCAAATTATTTTCTTGGGACTCCATAACCCCTTATATCTGACCTCACATCAGATCACATTCTTTATCCCTCACCAGCCTCCAGGGGATGTGTGACTACCCTGGCCTGTCTCCAGCAAGAATCCTGCCTGGTTGCTTTAGATAGAACTCCCTTTTGCTCCTGATACTTCCTCTTAATAATCTTCCATCCACTGCCACACATGCCCCTCTGTTCCTTGGCCATAAATTTTTCCTCTTTTTTTTTCTTCCCATAAATTTCTCCTCGCTTGTGCGGTGTTGAGAGTTAATGCCACTGACATGAAGAGCAAATGAGTTGCCCTACATGTGCCACGCACGACAGAAGGCCAAATTCTGTGTTAAGCGAGACTTGACGCCCGTCGTCCACCCTAACGCAAATCCCACGCTGTGGGCCCCATTCCTATCTCCACTAAACAGCCTACCTCTGCATTTTGACAAGTTATCACTAAATGATTTTATTCTTCCGTATCTTGTCCATCTTCACACCTCCGATTTCCTCAGAAGACCACGAAGGGTCTCCTCAGTCACCCTCCAGGGGCTGTGGGAAGCGGGCTGAGGGGACCAAGGCACCGGGTGGGCTTCCCTCTTCCGTAGATGTGGGTCAGTACACTTTTCTGAGCTTCACCCCGACCCCTGGCCGCTCCAAGGGAGACAAAGGATAGGAACGCGGCCCTTGCGGGCAGCTCGTAACTCCTCTCTCCAGACACTGCACGTAGGCACGCACGCGCAAGGCACGCACGCGCACAGGCACGCACGCACACAGGCACGCACGCACACAGGCACGCATGCGTCTGTCTGCTCAGCCTGAGAATGCAGCTGCGTGAGCGCTGCCCCTTCAGGAAAGCTGCAAGCCTCAACAGCTCTGCCGGGCCTTTGCGAGCAGCACCTGGGCTGCTGAGCAGAAGCAATTTCAAACCGGTCCCACCGGTGGGGCCAGAAGCTGGATTGAAACTCCTCCTAGGTTGTGCCAAGTGTGACAGAAACAAACAGCCCAGTTTCCTTTAAGAAGGCCTACGAAAGGTCAAGCCCATCAAGACGCCAATGGGAACCTTTCCATGTTGGCAGGAGCATGACCTCCGGAAGAGCCGGCCAGGATGACGGACGGCAGGAGGCGACCGCTCGGTGTGGAGGGCGTCCCAGGACAGGTGCCATTTAAGTTGCCACGTGGCATCAGAAGCAGAGCCTTTGAAAACTGTCCGTGCCTACAGCCATGCCACCTTAAGGGCTCCTATGTCCTCTGAAAAATGTCTTAGATATCGCAAAATGCCATTTAAGAGCATCGTAAACTTTAATTGATCTTTAAGAAAGGACAAAGCTCTGGAAGCAGGATTCTGTTAACAGCCCCATTGCTGGCCTTGGGCCACCAGAAGTCTCCCAGACTGACCCAAGGTCATTTATGGAATATTTATTAGAAGAGTAAAAATGTCTTAGATATTTAATATGTCTTAGAGATTAAGAAGAAACATTTAAGAAAATTGTGATGTCATCTTCCCCACAAATATTGAAATACCATGTTTATAAATGTAATTATCTAGTGAAAATATTTGCAAGTTATAAAGCAAGGGCCAGGAACAGGCCAGATAGCTCAGAGGATTAAAGTGCCTGCTTAGGCAGATGCAGCGCCTGGGATTCGATCCTTGTCGTGGTGTGGGGTGCACTGAGAGTGCGACTGAGACTGGGCGTGGTGGCGTGCGCTTGGGAGGCTGAAAACAGGAGGATCACTACGAGCCTGATCTGTGTAGTGAGACCCTGTAGACCCCTGTACCAAATACAATAAAGCAAGGGCCACTCTACTATGAAAAATGTATGGGCTTTGGGCCATTGTTTTCTTATCTTGCAAGCTTCAAGGTTGGAAGATTCGACACTTTTTATCATGTCGTTCAGTAAGCTTTTTATTCCAGTAGTCTTTCTTCCCCTGCAACTGTGAATAAACTTAATAAATAGAATAAATAAGCATCTCTTGAAGGCCAAGAAATCCAATGGATAAATCTCTCTATAGGGTAATAGTGAAACAACTAACACCAAAGGACAACTCAGATGTTGGGGAATTAATTGATAACAACAAAGCCATCACTAAAAATTAAAGATAGATTTAGGATACCCAATCTAGATACCAAAAAAGGCACTGGCAGCTTCCCCAGGTAAGACCATACAACAGCAGCATTTCACTGAGCAGGTTAGTTCCACATTCTTGTCTGAAAGAAGGAAGAATTCAGGTACCAGACACAGGATGTAATTTCCCAGGACAATCTGTCAGGCCTAGTGTTAAGCCGCCTCAAAATAGACGCAAGCGCTCTAATGACCTCCGGTGGTTACAACTGAAATTGCTTTGTGACACATGAAACTAGAGCCTGGTGTGCAAAGTGATTATGGGTGTTGGCTTTGGGCCATTGTTTTCTTATCTTGCAAGCTTCAAGGTTGGAGTAAAAGAAACAGAGCAAATGACTACCATAAAATGTCCTTTCCTCCTGACTTTCAGCCATTAACCAAAGGGCCTACTCTCTTGTAAGATGCGTTAGCAGCGAGAAAACTCTCTGTCTCCTAGCGAATCTTCCCAGGAAAGTCAGTTAACATCAGCTGAGTGCCCACAGATAGAAGAGGAACACACCAATGGAGTAGGAGAGCAGAAATGACTGATCAGATGAGAAGGGCAGGAAGAAGTGGAAGGAGCAGTACAGTGCAGGTTGCAAACTGGATCATGCACAACTCTTAGATCCTTTTTGGTAGCTGCCCAAGAAATCCAATGGATAAATCTCTCCATAGGGTAATAGTGAAACAACTAACACCAAATGATGTTGTAGGTGCTCACAAACAAACATTAGTGAATAAGCTCAAGTACCTTCCCGGAGTGCCCTCTTCAGCCTGGAAGAAGTCCTTGCTCTTTGGCCTCTTGGTGAGAGACTTGTTGGATTGAGAAAGGATAAATCTCCAGAAGCAGCGTCCTGTTACTACACTCATTGTTGACCTCTGGCCACCAGAAATCCCCAAGTCTGACCCAAGGTCATTTTCTTGGGGATGAAACTCAGGAAACCTACCTTACAGGACCACTACCAGCCCCACTAGATTCTTCAAGTCCAGACACCCTGAAGGGCTCTCTGGAATATTGTGTCAGTCCAGACATCTTGAACACCAGAAAGAGAGAGACTGTTTCAAACTTTTAGATGGCTCAATAACAAGCCACTATGAATAGGGGGATTTGTTCTAATGGTGTTTGTAAATAGGATATCAGGTCTGCATCTTGTACAGCAATTAACCACTAGGAAGAATGTATACAATGTGTTAAGTATTGAAATTGTCCTACCAACTTAGTTTGAAACTGTCTCCTTGCTATTTGTTTCTCAATAAAATTATGGAAAAAAAAAATAACAAGCCACTGGCCGTTCTGATAATAATTGATGTCAGATATTTGCTTTGCTGATTATCAAAGTTTTTCATGCTAACTGAGGTATTGTGACCTTTCCAAACTAGAGTGAATGAAGGACTCCTAGCATATTAATTCCTGATCAGAACATGAATTACCCCTGGATATGATTCCAATAACAAGTATCACACAATCGATGCTCAAGTATTTTCAGGTAAATTACAGGCATACCACAAGGGAAGGAGAATGAGGGCAGGGACCCACTGGTGGGCATTGGCAGTGGCTGAGTCTTACCCATATCCCTCACTAGAGGTTGCTACTGTTGTCACTTGTCAGGTATTTATTTACACGGTGTCTACTCATATGTCAGATATCCATTTGGACTATATCATCTGTCTGATTTCCAAGGAGAATTTAATAAACCAGGAGAGTGTTAAAAATTCACTGACTAGGGGCTGGTGAGATGGCTCAGTGGTCTAAGGCACCTACTTAGAACAAGCTAAGCTAAGCAAAACACAGGGACCTTGGTTCAATCCCCCAGCACCACATGCCAGCCAGCCCTGCCCCCTGGTGGGCTGAGCTGGCCACACACACACTAAATAAATAAATAATAAATAAATAAATAAATCTTTAAAAAAAAAAAATTCACTGACTAGGGGCCGGGGAGATGGCTCAGTGGAATAAGCGCTTCCCTGACAAGCCCAAGGCCCTGAGTTCAATCCCTGGTTACACACACACACACACACACACACACACACACACACACAAAATTCACTGGCTAAAGCCACAGAGATGTTTCTTCAAACACATAACAGCCTCACAACGATGTGAAGATTTCCACCCCCTACCTTGGGCTCCATTGTAGTGTCAAGGAGAAGCCAAGCAGCTAGAAAACTCTGGAGAAAATCTCACCTAATCTTGTCATTTTTTCACTAATTGACAACATATCCCGAACCCCTGTACATACCATTCTAGAACTTTCTGTTATATACCATACTAATGCTTGAAGTACATTGCTGAATGAAATCATATGATTCTAAAAGAAAAAAAAGGAGGCAGGCACTCGATGAATCTACTTAAAAACCTTAAAATATTAGTTGCTTCATTTTTCTCTAGCAAAGGAAGGAAGAAAGAAAAGAAGGGTGGGAGGGAAGGAGAGAGAGGAAAGAGAGAGGCCTTTTAAGGCTGTAAAACATTTCACTATATTTTGCTTTCTTTAAGAAACAATGATCATTATAACAAGAGGCTGCGTTTACCTTAATTGTGATTTAGTGCATCGTAAAAAAATTGTGACTAAGAATTCTTGGCGCTGCTTGTTGGTCCAGAGGTCAAACCAATGACTTATAAGGGCAACTCTTTCCTGAAAGAGCTGGAAGTGAGGGAAACGAGAATTTCCAGTACAGTTTCATATATTCTCAGTTGCTAAGCAATCCTTAGACAATCCATGAACAACCTCCAGTTAATATTAGCATAGCACATTACACTTTACAGAGCATTCTTGCGTATGTTGAGGGGTTCTCCTTTCACCTTAAACCGTTTGTACCCAGGGCTGCAGACAGGATGGGGCCTGTCAGGTGGGCTGGTGGGAAGGCCGGCGGGATGCAATTACAGAGGGGCCCTAGGAAGGCCTTGGGGGTACAAAGGCAGTAATTCCCAGCTCTAGTTTCTACCTAGACTAAGGTTGCTTAGGGAAACAGATTCCATATGTTTTGTGTTGAGGACACATACAGGCTACACTCATTTAATTGTGGAAATGGGACCACTTCAGGTAGGCTTGACTTTACTAACCCACAGGCCCAGGGCTTTACGACACCCACAAAACTAAAAGCTTGGGCCAGGGAGATAGCTCAGTAGAATAAGCCCTTGCCTGGCAAGCGCAGGGTCCTGAGTTTGATCCCGTGTCCCACAAAAAAAAAATTTTTTTAAACTAAAAGCTAATAATACTACAAAATGCCACTGCTAGGTGTGTCACCAGGGTCCCCTAGACAAACTGTCTTTAGGGTAGCTCAGACTTTAGCCCTGTCCACTCCCTTGTGAAGGAAACTAAAGCTGCATGAGCGCTGGGGATGCTCCTCATTCCATGACGCAGGGCAAGGCTGCCCCTCACCAGTCAGTGGCTTCTTCCTGAACTACCTTTGAGGGAAGTGGGCATACCCAGGCCCATGGAATGTGGAACAGAAGGGGACAGAGGATTGAAGAGACACAGAGAAACTTTGATGAACATCCCCACCCCTAAGTGTGTTCCTCCCAGCTGCCATGTGTCTGGGCATCTCAGTCGTGTCCCCAGAGCTCCAGGCTGAGCAGCAAGGTGGATGCGGAGTCTCTAGGAAGGTACAGCTATGGTAGGGTGAGAAGAGGCTCTCTTGGGGCAGAGGAAACTAGATTTATTTTTGTTTAAACTGACCCCAAAACTACATTCTTTAGATGATTTTTATTTCATAAATATAATAACACTAGACTCAACATATCATGGTAAAATTAACTGTAGGAATCAAACGCATTTCATTGCAGAGCACGTAATTCACCTGTCTGTTCAAAGGCATGTTGCTGAAGGGCGTCCAGGCGCTGAACCTTCTGTGGAAGCTGTCCATTTCCAGGCTTTTGCGTGAGGAATTCCCACCTGACATCTCAGCAAATAATCTTCATCTACTTCTAGAAACTACAAGTTCATTTTAATAAATATATAATTAAGATAACTTAGAAGCAATATATTAATGTTGTCTCTATAGGAATTATAGAATTATAATAATTTATTTATGTGTACAATATAGATATGTGATACATAGAATTATAATATATGATAAGCTATGCAAATGTACACTCTATGAACTCCAATTCATTGTAGTTAATATTTGTCGAGCTTGCATCCAAAAAGTAACTGAATAACAGTTATTTTTCACTTTGCAAGGAAAATAGAAAATCATAATGTCTCAAGAAGTACTATCAGTGACTCAGAAACTGTCATAATCCTGGTTTTGGATTTTTGTTGTTGAGCTGGGGGGCATGGGAGTGCTAGGGCTCAGACCCAAGGCCTTGCCTATTCTAGACAAGTGCTCTACCAGCCCGTGACCTAACTTCATTTTCCAGCAAAAGCAAGAATTTGAAGTGTTCAGGGAGAGTGCTCTCCCAGTCTCTCTTTTAAAGACAAAAGTCAAAGAGGATATAGAAAAATAACTGGGCTAATGCATTACTTACCTGCTGCTGCATAACAAATTCCTTCAAATTTAATAGCTCAAAGCCAGTAAACATTATTATCTCAAAGTTTCTGAGGGATGAAAATCTAGGTACAGCTTAGTTTTCCAGAACTACCAAAACAAAATATAGGGCTGGCCAAATAGCTGAATGGATTATAGTACCTGCAAGCAGGTGTAAGGGCTGGAGGTTCGATCCCCAGGCCTACAGTGCTGGCTCCTCCTCTGGGGTGCAGTGAGACAGCAAATGAGACTGGGCGTGGTGGCACACACCTGTGATCCCAGCTCGTGGGAGGCTGTAAACAGGCAGATCACTATGAGTCTGATCTAGTAGTGAGACCCTGAACACCCTGTAGACCCTTCCCTAAAATACAATAATAATAATAAATAAATAAATACAAAACAAAATATCGCAGACTGGGTGACCTACACAACGGAAATTCATCTTCTCACAGCATTGGATGCTGGGAGGTCAAGGCCAACACTGTCATCCACGCTGCTCTCCTGGCCATCGACGGCCACCTCCCTGCAGCGAGCTCATGAGGCCTTTCTTCTATTTTTGGCGTCTCTTCTTATTGTGAGGACATCAGTCCCATCATATTAAGACCCTACCCTAGGTCCTCCCTTAGCCTTTTATAGGCTCCACCTCCAAAAGCAATTTCATGGAGAATTAGGACTCAATCACAGGAACTGGGGGCGGGGGGGCCTGTGCCCTGGAATCTGTAACAGGTGTTTCTACATTAAGGTGCCTTGAAAGGCTACAGTTCAGTGTTGACTGGGCAGAGCTGCAGTCTCATCTGAAGGCTTTGAGGGTCACTCGTGGCTGCCAGGGGCACTCAGGCTGCCATGAGCTGCTGGGCTTCAGGCCTCCCCCGCCTTCCTTACCCCGCAGCTGCTCCCCAGCTTCTGTGAGAGTGAGCCAGCGGAAGATGTGTGCACGGAAGGCAGCCACGGCCTCTCTGTAACCTCACCTCAGAAGTGACAGCCCCTCTATTTTGCTTCATTCTATTAGTTAAAAGCAACTTGCTGTATCCGATCACTCGTACAGGGAGAGTGTTTTCTACAAGAGCACCAGGGAGCAACATGGCTTCTTGTTACTCTCCTAGGTTCTTTGGCCGGGCCACAGATTACAGCAGTTTAACAGGAGAAAAAGCATATGAACTCCATGGAGGTGCACTGGAGGCCCCCAAAACCTGAGAATTGGAGAGCGACCAGATGATGAAAGCATGCTGAGCTGCAAAAGCGAATAGAGCCTGGGGTTTCTGAGAGGCGCTGGCCACACAAGAGGTAAGAATGTGTGGGGAAAGGAGAGTAGTTTTTTTCTTATTGGGATTAAATAAGATTAAATAATCTCTCAGGTGATAAAAGCTGTGTTGGGCTGGTGCTCAGAGACTAGGTGATTTGTCTGGACATACTGTAAGTCATGGTGTAAGCTTCCTGGTTGGTAGGATTCCCAGGACAGATGAGCTGTTGAGTGGGGCTCATCCTCAGGTAAGGGAGAGAGAAAGCTTTGAGCACCCTCTGTTCCCAGAGTGCCCTGGGGGCCAGGGAGTGAGCGTGGCATGCCATGGTGTGCTTGGTCGCATTTTCTCAGACCCTTCAGTTCACCCTTGCAGTCAGCCTCATTCCTTTCCTATTTTCAGAACACATCTGCCTGCCTTTTAAGGAAGACAACCCCAAAATTTCACCCCATGCATTTCTCCTGCACAGAGCTCAGGAGACGCGAATGGCTCACCAGTGTCTCTAGGCCCACACGCAGCAACTCTTGATCCACGGACCTTTGAACTACGAAGACAGTCCCGTGGCCTCTGCCCCTACACATCATATGTGTAACTCCACTCAGAGAAAGGACAACTCCAATAAGTAAACCCACATTTAAAGGGGTAGATTATCAACAGCAGTCCTACTACAAAGGGTGAAAAACCTATTTTCACTCTCAAAAATATCACATTTGCTTTAAGGTCATGCTAGGAATACTTCAGCAGTCTCATTTTATCATTAACATATCCCAAGCTATTTATGTGATGCTAAGCAGTGCTGTGTACTACAGTTGTTTAGAGACATTTCCTCTCTTGCTCTAAAGTTAATGGCAGGTGTTTTGAATTTATCAGGCTTCCTTAGGAAGAGCCAAACCCTAAATTACTCTTCCCTGACATATTTCCAACCAACAATAATTAATTTCTTTTCTTTTCTTTTCTTTTCTTTTCTTTCTTTTCTTTTCTTTTCTTTTCTTTTCTTTTCTTTTCTTTTCTTTTCTTTCTTTCAAGACAGAGTTCTGCTACGCAGTTCAGGCTGGCCTTGAACTCACTTTGTAGCCTAGGCTGGCCTTGAAATCACAGCAATGCCCCAGTTCCTGAGTTCTGAGATTACAGGAGTGTGCCATCATACCTGGCCCTGCCAGTATTTTCTGAGTGTCACTTTGTTCCATTCAGAGGTGTTAACAATGGCGTTTCAACTATACTCTTGACTTGGTCCTTGCTACCAGGCACAGCATTTGTTCCTCAAAAGCCTTCTCAGTTTTTTCTTTACTAGTTAAAAATGTGAATCAGTTTTTTTTTTTTTTTTTCAGAACCTGGGATTGAACTCAGGCCCTTGTGCTTGCCAGGGAAGTGCTTATTCTACTAAACCATCTCCCTGGCCCCCTCATTGTACCTTCTAACCTTGTAAATTTCTTGAGTTTTGGCTCTATCTACATCTATGTCTATACCTATACCTACACCTATATCTTCCTTTCCTTTCTGCCTGAAAACTGGACACATACTATCTGGGGTAACATGAATTCTCATCTTTTCAGGGACCCCCCCCCCAACAATTTCATGCTGCCACACTAATGTTAATGCCACATAATTTGGAATGTGCTGCTGTTATGGTGGCATCTTATTCCTAGAACCAATTTCTATAATTATTGAACATCTGGGAAAGAAATAACACTAATCTCACTCAAATCTTCTAGAGAATAAGAAGGGGATGATTAAAACGGTTAGGGTTAGGGTTAGGGTTAGGGTTAGGGTTAGGGTTAGGGTTAGGGTAGGGGATGATTCCTGAGCATAACTCTGATGCCAAACCCCAGCGAGAACCTTACATGAAAGGAATATAGAGTTTGATGATTATAGAGGTGCGAAAGTCCTATCCAAAGATTAGAACACCAAACCCTGAAGTATATAAAAAAGATAATAGCAATTTGAATTACACAACCAATATATTTCTATCATTAACAATGGAGAGCTAGGCAGGCATGGGGTGCATGCCTCGAATCCCAGCACTCAGATGGTTGGCGTTGGCAGATTACAGGTTTGGGCCCAGCCAAGCTACATTGTGAGTTTAAAGCCAGCATGAGCTACAGAGAGAATCTTATCTCAAACAAAACAAAACTAAGAAGAGGAGAGGGAGGGAGAGAGGGAGGGAGAGGAAGAGAAACAGACAAACAGAAAGAAAGATGGAGACAGAGAGAGGGAGAGCGAGAGAGAGAGAGAGAGAGAGAGAG